ATATTACATAACAAAAAATAATTAAGCGATATTGAAAAAAAGAACAAGAGAATGTGAACTGAACGAACCAATAATTCGTAACGGAATGAATCACTTCGGGATCATTGCGTTCAGTTTATAGCGGTATAGTATAGAGGATAAATGAGGGCGAATATGGCTCAAGCAAAATGACTGCTTTGAGAAGCGTGTGAGCATCAAGAGTAATGCTCACTTGGGCCAATCACTTGATTCACCAAATGAATCGGAACTGACTAGCGTGCCGTTTTCCAAATATCGCATTATTTGCTCATCAACGGTAAATTTTTTTGCAAGAGGCAAAGAGAAAACAGGAATCGCCCTGCGTTTGGCAATTTCCTTAGAAATTGTAACAGAACCAATGATGATTGATATTTTAGAAATAATAGAAGAAGTATTAATGTATACCAGAAAGAACCGAGAGTATAAAGCGAAAGCGAATAGTAGAAAGCATGAATGACACTAACTGTCGCCAATATAATCGAAAAAATCGTAATATATTTTGCGGTTAATGTATACTTCAGTTGTGAATACGCATTTTAGAAAGCAGCCTTACAGGTACCGTTTCATTGGCCCTCGGGAAATGCATCTCAGATCTCCGACAAAAAATGGCAACTAATTCTGAAAACGGACTCCTGTGCCAAACCAACTGCGTTCGTATGCTTCATTGAGCGACTGAAAGTGAGACTGAATCATGAACAGTCAACTGCAGTCAACTATTCTACAAAAAATTGTTATGAGCTGTGATCAATACTTTTGAGCCTTATCGAATTAGCAGCAAACCCATCAAATTTTAACCAGAAAGAAAACGATTTTCGACTGTTTAGAATGTTCGATGTTACGTTGTTCCGAGAGGACATCCAATAAAATTAGATGTTTATGTGCTCTGCAATACTAGAGTGGCACTACATTGGGTGAGCTTAATCAGTTTGTAGAATGCATTGTTCTGTGTATGTTAATCGTAGCCGCGAAAAATTGTGGAAAGGTAAAGAGAGCAGTGAATTAGGAGGAGATAAAGTTGTAATAGTGGATGGAAGGAAGGGATTGGAGCGAACATTAAGATGAGTAGTCTATTTATCAGAGCACTCATCTTGTGTTGTTTAAGCCAGTTTGTTGGTTACTAATGAGTACAAAACACGAAATGAATAAACAACTTTGGGTTGGATATAATGAGATGTGGTGATGTGCCTTTGTAGACGACTCGTACGATTTGGCAGGCTGGTGTTGATCTAATTATTCATCTTGTTAGTAATTGACTTCTTTCACTGAAAACATTTATCATTGTTATTTGTTAATATTTTAATGGAATTTCGATAATGTCGCCCAGTGAGTATGAAGTTAGGTGATAGCAAACATTTTTGATAATGATTAAGTTGTTGTCATTCTTGGTATCACGCAACCACTTCGTTTCTTTTCTAGCAAATTCCATCAGATCGTTCACATTTATTATTGGATTACTCATTAAAATTACTTTTTTGCAGAACAGAATGCAATTCGGTGCGATAGTGCCGAGTATGCCAGATGTGGTACTTCGAAGAATTTTTGATTCGTTAACCTATAAGGAACTGTGTCGATTTGAGTGTATTTGTAAACGATGGCGAAAACTGATTCAATGGATTTTCAAAAGAGATATCTTGGAGTTGACTGTGGAGCAGGCAAAATTATTTAAATAAGTATTGTGATGCTGAATGAATTTCCCAAAAAATGCAATCTTCACTGTGCAACTGCTAACAGATTTCATAAGATCTTTGAATTATTCAGTTGGAATACCAAATTTTGTACGGTAGAATTTTTGATGAGCTTCTTTCACAAATAGTTCACATAATAATGAAAATTTGTTGAATTAGATAAATGTTTCTTATTTACATCCAGTGAACAAATAATATATCTCAGTCAACAACCTACTCAACAATATCGATAACTCAACAAGTGCCATTCAAACGGCTCTCTGTTTGCTGCAACTTTGATGCAGTTGATTTCTTATCTGGTGTTCTGAGACGATCACGACTGTACATACGAAAGCTCAGTTGTGATTTACGATTTTTGGCTAATCTTGACCAGGTTAATACCAACTGAACACGTTTATTGCTGTATTACCAGCCATTTCCTTCGGGTCCTTGAATGTATTGGTGATCTTTTCTTGCGTGATGTTTTCACCGCTTATTTGCTTCTGAAGCACGCAGAGTGTACTGCAATATTGATACATTGTCTCACTGATATCAACCTGTGGGGCCAGTTGTTCGGATTTCTTCGTCAACGTTCACACACAATGTAGAAAGAAATGCATCTCGAGAGGCTGCCACCTTTGAGTAACGAGCCACAATGCTAACATACTTTCTTTAAGTTCAAGCGATGAACAAATATTACTGATTAGTAGCATAGTATGAATTGCGGTAATTATAATGATTGAAGTTACAGTTGAAGTGTGATCGGGAGAGGAATCGACGGTATTGGAGTAATGTGGAGGAAGTGTGGCTAGTGATCAGCAAGTTGAATGAACAAATTACCGACAAATTTCTTGCGATCGAAAGTGATCTCTTCTTGGTTTGTTCTAATTACATCTCGAAATCTGTTTCATTTGAATTTTTTTTAAAATCTACAATCAATTATGTTTGTTTTATTAGTGAGTCCAGGAACGAGGTTCAAATGTATCTAATGACGTTTTTTTTNTTTTTTTTGAAAAATGACTGGTCATTCGATTGACAGTGATGTCATAATGCGTTGTTGCATGATGTTGCACTGATTTAATTATGATCTTTACAGAACCTCAGTGAATTAACCGTACAAATACATCAACTTACATCTCAAGCAGATAATGCTGATCGGGTTTTATCTGCTATCATCAGTCGGTTTCCCAGTGTGTTCATCAATATGGAACTTCATGCAATAACTTGTGATGAGGTAAACAATTTTTTTAATCTTTTGTTATGTCAACAGAAATCCTCACGAATGCTCTATCCGGTTATTGAGGACTTTATATGATCCCAAAGCACAATGATTGAATGTTAGAACACTGATCAAAGAAACACTGAAGTGAAAAGTTCGTAATTACAGATATATTACCAATTACACGCGTTTTCACCGACGAAACTGAACAAATTGAAATTGGTTTGTGTTGCATACGAGCCGTCAAAGATATCTCTCACCCGTATTGCACGCAACCTCAAACAAAGTCACATCGATATTCGCAATTTCACACTTCGGTACCTTTTTGCTGTTTTTAATGAACGCATCCTCTCGCAAGAGAGTTAGCAACTGCAAACATCGAATGCTTCAGAGCTGTGCCTACACTTCGGCTCAAAAGCGGCCAAAATAAACCTAGGTGTGCTGCTACACCCGTACGAGCTTTACATGTTGCCAGAGGGTTCTCCCACTGTCTTTCGTTTCTCTTCGAAAATTGTCAGCATCAGGCATTTGAAATGCACTGTCATAACTAGTTCAGTTGTTTTCAGTCAATTGATCATGCACAAAATTCCGATCAGTATTAAATCGTAATTACGTTCAGTACATTCGTGTAATATTGATAGTGTTGATAAATTACCAAGAGTAGTAATACTCAGTACATCACGTAATTTCTACCATCTTGCAGATACGTAGAGTGCAATCGTTTCTTTGATTTCTCGGTTGAATTTCATTACAGTTTATAAAATTCAGTGTCGAATAAACTGATTAATTTTGCAGTGACTGGTGTATTGAGTGTGATCCCAACGAGCCACTATTTCACAATGCAATCAATACGTTCCGAATTAGTTCGTGTAATATTGATAGTGTTGATAAATTAGCATCAGCACTTCAAAAGACCGTCCAAGTCGCTGAGTTGGAGGAACGGAATCACGACGATCGACTGCATAATGATAGTAAGCGGACGAGAAACTCAACCAAGAGTAGTACTCGCTCTAATCATTTTTATGATAATAGTCTTATTGTAGCTATTATTGCTAAAACAATTGCTTCTGAAATGATATCAATTCAGCTGTATTTTTTTTAGTAATTTTCTCATATTTTTGATATTTCGTATGCAGATCGCAAGCAAATCCAGCTGTTTTCAAACTGCACGGGACATGCTCATTGCATCCTTCAAAATTGGTTTTTCATTGTTTCAATCAGATAGCATTCACATGCGATCGTAACGCAATGCATTTATGAGGTTTTATTGGCATTTCAACAATCGAAATAAAAATCATGCAAAATTGCACTGCAGTAATTTCGATTGGATGTGCAGCCCTGCTTTTTTGTAGCAACTCAAAATCAATTGCCATTTTCTCAACGAAACTTCACCTTCTTAACAACATTTCCTTGTTCAGATCAGAAACGTGAAAAAATGGATCGTTGCGATTCGCTTGAAAATTTCATTGAACGTCTTGAGGTGGCCGGTCAATGCATCTTCCACGGGCTGGATTACTTGAATGATAAGGCTCATATTGAATTTGAGTATCGAATTCATTCAAGACTTCCATCACTCGAAATTGATTGCTCAGATATTTATTACTACGATTGATTTCATTCACTTCTATCAGTTATTCGTTCACTGATTTGCAGGAAAAGTGTTACTGATGAATTGTGTTCATTTGTAAAGTGTATAAACTATTTTTGGGAATTGCTTTTTGTGTTACACTCTCAAAAATATAATGGGACAAATGAGATGGAAATAAGCGGATGATTAGAATTCATCATGATCAAAGCATCATTCTTCCTCTCGTTGAAAAGTTCCTTGACTTTATTTGGTCGATAACTGTTGATTGAGATATGCAAGTGACTGATTTTGCTTAGAGCGATATCGCTAATTTGTTATTGGTTCAGGTGAAAAGCGAAGGTCACCGATGAAATCAAACCTTGTTTTGTATGCGTTAGAATTAGTCTTTGAAAACACACAATTTCAATGACTGATTACTTTTTTATTGAATGCCATATTGTATGAGCGCTAAATAAGATGCCATCTCGAATGGAACAAATCTGTGGGGACACCAAAATGGTCGAAGTTACTCGTTCGTTTTCGTGTTGAGATTGATTTTTGGATGACCTTCCGAAGCGACTAAAATCTCTGACAGCACCAAAGATTGATGGTTTTGAATGTTGAAAATTAACAATTTATATTTGCAAAGAGATATATAAACTGCTAAATTTTGTTTACATTGCAGCACTTGATGTGGTGATCATGAGCGTAACGAACAACCAGATCGTGGGAAGGAGATGGATAACTTTTTGATGATCGTTAAACCACGGTGCCATTGAGCGGTCACTTTAATCGCTACTGCTTCGTGAGAGATGTTCTAGCACAAGCGAATTCTTGCCAAGTTTGACTTCAGGGAGAACGATATCAGGATGATGAATATTCACTTTTACATGGTATGACCTCATGAGATCAGCAAATCAAAGACAACCAAATCTCTTCCGAAATATAATTGTTCATCAAAAATGAGCCAAGAATTTGTGGAGAATACAAAATGAGGCTGAAAATGCTCGTTGAACATCCTAAAATCTGTTCACTAATGAATTCATTCCTGAGATAGCAATATAAAATTGTTATTTCCATATGCGTGCACTTTCTGTGGCTTGTTATGTCCATTTTATTCCCAATCGACTTCCTACTAAACCTATTCAATTTCATCGGAGCCAACATTTTTATGCGTGAAGCAAATAGGTCTCTTGAGAGCATGAGTCTTCCTTCAATATTTACAAAACCAATTCCACAAACTATGAATTGCTTCAGATCTTAGAGCCTGTCGAACTAATTTTTGGTCGTTCGATCTACTTCTGTTTCAGTCTTGATATATTGCTCCAAGCAATACTTCCTACTAACCGATAATTCTTATTGTTTTAATGTCATCAGAAGATTGGGGAGATGTGTTAAAGTATCGGCAACTGAATAACCATCATGTAGAAGAGAATAATGGCGTGATAATCAGGTCGCTGACGGCTTAGGTGTGAATTTAACCGAGAATGCAGTGTTTTAATGAGATATAGTCGCGAAGTGAAGGGTAATCCATCAAAATTTGTCAATACCAATAAAAATTCTTCGATAAACTGAATTATTTAACGAATATCATTAAGATTTTGTGTCAAGATGCTCTTGCTCGAGGGCATAAAACAATTCATTTGGAATGGTAACATAAATCAACGTTTCAGTGAATCGCTTCTGGTTTATTCATTCAACATTCTCTCATCAAATACTAATCAAACACAGAACGACTGTTCCTATCAGTCTCCTTCTCAACTTCACTTCGCATGAAATTCGAGCGTATAAGGACTATATAAAATTCTCCATTCGAAAGATTTGTGCCTCACCTCCGTTGCGGTAAACTGAAGAAGAATTTTGGACCTCCGTTGTGAACAAACGACTAAGTTCAGATAACTGAAGTCGATCTGCAAAAATGAAGGTTAATAGGTAACTTTTAAAAGCTAATATCATTGATCGAAACAGTACTATATACATAGACAAATTCGTTTCTGCTCGAGAGAATATCATCCGAATAAACACAAACAAATGAATTGTTAATGTGAGAATATTCGCACGGAAAGGCAAAATGTAAATGACATTGATGTGACATCAATACCATATTTGGTCGTATATCTCTTACTCTAGTAGATAAACATGTAATCGAATACAAATATTTGGTATACACCTATGTGAATAAATCATTCAATTAAACGATGAACCTTATCGCATTCCTCAGATTTCACACCTCACCCAAGTAATCTTTGCTCGGTTACTATGCGTTCTTCAGAGATTTTTAAGTGGATTTTGCAATCTTCATGGAATATTCGAATTTGGCGATTATCGGTGAATATATTATCGTCAGCACGAAATTCCAAAAGAGGAGATTTCAAAAGCATAGAAGTTGTTAGGAAGCAAAATCGAATTCAGTAAAACACTTCGAACTGATTTACGAAGCACAAATGTAAAAAGGGTGGAATTGTTAGAAGAACGGGTGAATCTGAATGGGGATTGATTGCATGTTGTTTTTTTTTTCGTCAAACCGCAATGGGCTTTAAAATTGTCACGGATCTATATGCGATGAAATGTTCATGCATTCAGGAGAATTTTTGTCATTTACTGTGAATGACTGAGAGTTGAACTGAGATCTTCTCAAATTTGATTAGTCTAATTTGATTTCGTAATTGTGATCAAATATTGATATTAATTGTCCGGAAATAGTGAATGGTCTTGTGAAGTCGTTTCACCATTTTTTTGTAAATACCAATATTTATTTTAAGAACCATTCAAAATACTCAAATGAGTTTTTTCATGAGGTGCTTCAAAACCAGCATTGAATTGCATGTCTATTTCAATTTGCTCAATGCAATACTTCGATCCTTTTAGCGGTGTCCTCTTTGTTTTCAGACGAATAGTCTTTCAATCTTACCATTGATTTCACAAGTGCTTCTGGAAATGGTTTTCAACAATGGAACGTACTGGTTTCATCAAAGCTGCATTAAAGCGAGCTATTATAGAATTTTATAGGTCGTTAAGCATTTGTACGTGATCAAATTGAATAGAACGTTAAGAAATTGAGGATAATATATTGCAATTTGTCGTTTCTTGATAGTGTTTTGAAGGAAAATTTCGATTACCGACCAATGCTTGTGATGTCAGTGCTAATTCAACGCCAAGATGCTTTTTTCGTATTTTCAGAAAAGAAGCCAACTCAATGCAAAATCAAGCCAAAGCCATTAATTAAGTAGCTTATTTTGAAATTATATGCTCAAGAATTTGCATATTCAAAACATTTGCACCACACAGCCATTGCACATTCTCGTTTATCTCACTTAAGGAATCACCCAAATCGAGCCATTTTTGCCTTTCTTGACGATTCGTTCTTCACACAGTCAGCATCACAGATATTGACTATTTTAGAACGGGAATGCTCCTTCTTGAATTAATCATATGACGTTCAGTGATTTTCCTTATACGTACTCTTTCAGCTGGATCGTTTAATGATCACCTTTGTGATTTGATTGATACCTTGGCGATCTATTTTACTGCAATTTATGATGATTACCTCATAANCATCTTTGTAATGATTACTTTCGTGTTTGCATAACGTTTTTAGCTTCGATCATTCATTAACATGTAAAAGTGTTGCTTGAACCACCGATAAATAAGTTTTAGTTTACTTGTAGGTAATTAATGGCCGGACTTATAATGCACTTGTGAGCGTGACCATCATTAATGAAATGACTTTCGATTAGTTCGTCTCCGTTATAGACAGTGGTGTTTTTACTGCGGTGAAACTGTTCCATTCGTGTTCCATCCGAACGCACAGAACAGAACAGCTCTAGAATAAAGGACGTGAAGAGTGAAACAGAACAGAATGACTAGGGGGAACAGAAGAGAAGAGTTTGTCAAAAGTGTGGAAGAGAAGCATCAAGAAACATGAAACATCCTACAAAAGTGAAGTGGAGATAAGAATCCTTGAATGATGGTAGATGTGGAATACGGGTAATAAAAGAGATTAATGATACTGATTGCATTCGTACGAATAGATGAGTAAACGAATTAATCGTTTTATGAATGAATGATGAGAGCAAAGCAAGGAAGTTGAAAGTGAAGGAGGGCTTGATGGGTCACGATAAGGACGGACATACTCACTGCCTTGATCATCTGTCCCATCATCGGTATCCGTCTATCCGAATCTAGACAGATATAAGATATACGACAAGATCGCTGTTCGCAACAGAGCAACATTCAGTACGACTCAAACCAATCAACCCTCCGCAACCTTTAACACCCCATGATGACCATCGCTACATCATGCCATACGTTCTCTTGCAATCACCTGCAAGAGCACTCCGTCACTTTCTCATTCATCAAATGTCATCACTCCGTATTGCCCGTTCAATTCGATCTCTATGATAAATTGTTTCACATTTTTCATCCCTTCAATCAATCGCCAGGCTGAAGTAATTGAGTCATTCTCATTCTCACGATCAAAAATGTGAAACCAACAGAGAGTATAGTACGCGTCAATGTAGTTGTTGTTCAATTTTTGAATGGTTTTCTTCGTCGTTGGAAACCTCGGATCTTTGAACTGTTCACTGAAATTTTGTTCATCATTCCCGGTCGTTTGAAATTCCCAAAGCCGGTACTGTTTCCAAGTTAAAATCTTAGCTGATTCATCGCGGCAAACTGTTTGGACCGTTTGAGTAAGTGAAAGACTTAATTGCATTAACTTTTGCGATATTGTGTTTAATGATCATTTTACGATGCGGATGTACTTGAATTGTTATTGGAAAGAGCAATAAAAATGTTTCAGCATTGAGTTTTGCATCGTCTTCTATTCATCGCAGCTACCTCCGTGTGCATATACCTCAACTCATTCGTCTATTAAATTCTGCATTTAAATATTTAATGTCATTTACTCGCATTCATTTATGTCATGCGAAGTTTCTTTCACTGCACCGTTGTAACCGGTTCAAATCCTCATCAAATAGCAGCACAGCAAACGATTTTGTTTGAAAATTTTACATTATTGAATATCGGAGATCGTATTTTAGTCC